ATTTTTTCATTTATTTTTTTTTCCGCTGCCTCTTTATATTGAATTTCAGATTCTACCGCACCTACATATACGACAAGTCAACAATACAATCGTTCCATTTTAAGCGAAATGTTTCTAGTGGTTGTTTTCTCGTTGGGTTGTTTTCGATTACAGTTTTTATTACTGTAGCATTTCGCATACGTGTCTTGTCCATTTCACCTACTCACTGAAATTTCATTTGTAATGCTTTTGTATTGTGTCTTCTCTTCCAGGAATTTATTTGTGATCTGTGATCAACTCCGATTTTCAAGTGTAGCACTCGGAAAGATTATTTTTTGATTTTCATAATAAATGGGAAAAACCGTGAAAAATAAGTAGAAAAAACGGAAAAATGTACGAAATGTATATTTTTAAATCATATATATATATCATAAATATCAATACTACGGCCTTTTAAAACATTACGTATAACTGAACTCCACTTAGAATCGTTGGGAGACAGATATACATTAAATTCCCCTCTATATCTTACCTTCTCAATTTCTCACCTACAACAGTGGCCCATCGTGCGAAGTATGTCCGTATCTTTTTTTCTACAAAATGCTATACTTCCATAAGCCGTAGCACCATCAACATATAAGTAATACATTTGTTTGGTACATTTATTTGAAATGGAACAATTACACAAAACTAAATGTGGCAGTTTTTTTTATTCCGATTTCTATTGCCTAACTGCCATAACCTCATTTCCTAAGTATAGATTAATAAAAAAAATAACAGGCTTCAGGTAATATGAATAATTGCAAACTATTAAAATTGAAGCTTTAAAAGTAACAGTTTGGGACCAGATGATATTTTAAAATTGAATTTTTTCAAAACTATGTTTTTTGAGTTAGGCGCTCTTGTATCAAGGGTACTACAATATTTTATTGAAATATGTGGTCGGTATCTCGGGGGCTTTTTGTTTGCACCGGAGGCCCTAAAGATTTTCTTATACCCGATAACTTTCTCACTTTACTGAAGTTGCGCCATTGTGATATATTTATGTATATGTGATAACATTTTTGTATACAAACAGTGATTGCCGCAGTTTTGTTACATCATATTAGCGAAACGGTTTTTACCCCGCGGAAGTTTCTGTATGGTACATTATGTGTTCGGTGTGATGCTCTATTCTAGCAGCGGGAAAAGATCGAATATCGGTAGAAAAAAAAAAAACAAGAAAAAATTAGGACGACGGCATAATGATAATAGTATTATTGTATTGTTTTAATACACACACACACACACATACATATGATTTATGTATATTGTATATATTATGTAATCGGTGGCGTCGTATTGGTGATGCGAGGCTAGCGATCTCAATGGGATATTGTAAAAATATTATATTGTATAGATACCTATACAACTATAACTGTACACGGGCGGCGTAAATTACATTTAACAGCGAGAGATCGGTTTTTTTTTCGCTTATATTTTCGGTTCCGTCGGGTTCGGCATCACGACGATATTGCGGGTATACTACTCGGTAGGTATTATATATATATAGTAAAAATAACTCGCTAGACTGATTTAACGGTGAATAATTATACATTGTATACACATATACAGGGTGTTCCACAAAGATTTATCTATTGCAATATATCCTGAGATAGTAAAGACAATCAATATCTGTTAACATTACAAAACATTACTCGCAGGGATAAGAACTGCAAATATTTATATTTGAATTAAATTTGTATGTTTTGGTAAAAAAACTAAAGAAAAAATCGTTTTTTTTATTATTTTCGAAAAATTTGAAGATAGCCGTTTATAGAGTTCTTCTGAAAATGTCAACAATATTCATTAAATTCGTGTTTTTTCAATAATTTTCTTGAGTTCAGAGAAACGTATCAACAATTAGGTAACGGGAATCGGGCTTCGGGTAATCGCATTCACTCATCGATTATTATTACTTTGACCGATTGACCGTGTTACAATTTTTTTTCTCTGAACTTTAAAAATTAAAAAGTTATTATTTACCGAAACGTAATAAAATCAATTGAAATATAAATGATCGTAGTCATTATCCCCCTGGAGTAATGTGTGTATATAGATGTATAGAAAGCAAACATAATTCGATTATATCTCTATTATTTCCGGAGATATTACAACCGGTATAATGTCATCTTCGTGGGACACCCTGTATGTGTATTTTAATATTCTTTATCCCAGTGCATTACCACGTGCCAACGCGAGCGATAGTAATATTACTATTATTATTATATAGGCCCGTCGGAAATATAATAATATTACAATAACATATATCGTTGTTGGCGTCGTAAAAGCGAATCGTATATTATTGTCGTGCACGGACGGCGGCGGCGGCGGCGGCGGTGTTCATTCATTGAAGGAACGAGCGCGCGCGCGCTCGCGAATTCCAGCGGCGCGCAGCCCATTGTCGTCGAGCCGAGCGGAGCGCGCGCCAGCCCGCGAACCAATCGAACACGCCGCGCCGCCGACATAAACGCGCGCGCGCGCTCCCGCGAAAACAATATTGCGTTAATGCCGCGCCGCGCCGCACGGAGCGGAGGTTTCACTCGGCGTGACGCCGGGCGACCGAGTTGTGTTGTGCGGAGATTGCCCGCGCGCGGTACGCCTTTATAATAATAATATGTACCGATGATAATAATAATATTGTAGAAATCGCGACGTTTCGGGATCATCGGCGACGAACACGCGGCGGCGGCTGCGGCGGAACACCGCGAGAAGAAACGATAAAACAATACGAGCGAGCGCGCGCGCGGCTCTGCGCCGCGCCGCCCGATGTCGATTCGTATACAATAATAAAATATAATACCAATAAGTAATATAATAACGACGGCGACGGCGATTTGGGTCATTTATTGTCGTCGCGGTCGTGTGTCGTATACCTATACCTCCGCAGCATAATTTAGCCTGGTATTGTTCCGGCGAAAATCGTTTCGAAATCGTACGCCGATCGTCTATAATATAATAATAATAATAATAATATTGTTATTATGTGTAGGTACTGTTTTCGACACGTCGTCGTCGATACCATATTATCGTCGGTCGGCATCGCGTACATACCGAATTTAAAACGCGTAAAACAAAATGCGTGTCTACGCGGCATAGTCGATAATATTATACTCGTATTATGTATGTATACGAAACGAGCGGGATAGGGCAGTATCTTCGACACGACTATCTCGGATACAATTGTATCTGGTATCGCGGTTCGGTTCCGGAAAGTGACCCTCGTGGTATTTTGTATTGCGATTCTGGGATCGATTTCGATCTATAGTGTCGGGTACATATTCGTTTTGAAGCGTTTAGCCCAAACGACGGACAAAAGTTGAGCCATTTCGTCTCTTTAAAAAAAAAAAAAAAAGAATCAATGAAAAATTAAAAGCGAATGAAAGAATTGTGGAGAGGGATAGTTTTTCTGATGGAAAAGTTGTCAATAGGCAGAGAAAAATACCGCATTCGCCTTCGTTCAGACGTAACAGCAAGATAAGCCGATTAACGCAGCAAAAACAATACAGACAACGAAACACTGTGCGATAGACCTAACCTATTAGATATTTGGATTTCTAATCATTATATTATTAATCACTATCATATTTACTTAAATTTCACATTCAAATTCATAATTATTTTTAAATGGGTGTTAATTTATAGCGAAGCTTTCTTTTCCTAGTATTGTTAGGTAGATGTCTGGCAACAAGTTTAAAAATCTATCGAATATTTAGTCAAATATTAAATATTAAATAAATTATATGTGAATACAATATTCTTGGTATGACTTAACCTAACATGGCTTTACTAATGTCATAGTATTTATACATGGATTAATTGTAGTAAGTCTACACTTGAGTGAATCCAATTGTTGTTCTAAAACGAACTAAATGCTAAATAATTTGACTAATTTTTATTGCGTTCTTTAATTGACATCGTTTTGAAGATGAATCATTTTTGAGTTGTTGTAATCTTGATCTGACTAGTCGATATTATCTTGTATTGAATTTCCGAGCATTTAGTAGCATATTTTGACGTAATTTTATTAGACACCACGATTGCGTAAATATATCTGCCATTTTTCATTACTTTTCCCCCGTTTTTAATCAAACTACAAGGAAAATCAAAAATCGATTTTGTTGTTGCACCGACTTTAAACGTGGACGACCGGAATGAAATATCTGGCCGAGAAGTCGTTGTTTACCAACAAAAACAAATAAAACATTCTTATAGTTTGTATAGGGTCGAGGATTAATTCCTAATGAAGGAACTTCTAGCATTGATTGAATGTTTGTATTGCGCAGCGATAAAAAAAATATAATGAAATAAAGACCAGGTAAAAATAAATTTGTTTCACGTCATGACAAAGCTAAATCTGTATTTTTATGTCACATATTTTCATATTTAGTGTTTTTTTTACATTAGGAACATAGTGAGGGATCTATTGGTTTTACTATGATGTGTGTTTTTTTTCTGTTTGGAAATAAATTTTCAAACTGAAAACTTGCTCCAATATGTCAAGTGTAGTACTTTTTCTGAAAGGAAATTTTCACAAGTAATTTTTTTTAATTTTCCAAGGGATTTTCAAAATAATCGGGAAAAGGCAGATATTTACGGTGTGGCGTTACCGATTTCATTGTTTTTAATTTTTGCTTTAATATTGCTTTAATCAAAAAACGCTTTAAAACATTTCTCGTTGTATTTCGGATCGAGTTGGTAAATGTGTTTGACCGAATGCCTTTATCATCCAAATAATATTTTGATAGATAACATGTCATATAGAATGATTCATGGCAATAAAACCGACGATTTATATAAAAGTCTTCAAACGTGGTGCCATTCTTCGTTCCTTAATTATTGTTTGCGGCTATGCGAGTTATTACGGGATATTTACCAATTACGTACAGGACCGGATTTAGGACTAGGCCACCTATAGGCTATAGCCTAGGGGTGCTACGACTTCTCTGGGTGGCATGGCCGACAGAACTCGGATATGTACGGGGACATTAGGCGTGAGAAGTTATGATAGTGCATGATGTTTTTCAGATCATATAGCTTTGATAGGAGAAAATCTGGAAAAAGTTAACTGTAAGCTCGAATAGAGAGTAGCACTTTAAGGGAAGGGACTATAAGGATAAGTAGAATTAAAACAGAGTATGAGTTTATTGGAATACGATAAGACAGCTAATGACAATTAGGGATAATTTGGATGGGGGTCCTTGTTCCAAAAGTAAGGACTTTTTTTTTTATTAACCTTGGGGTGCCTTTTTGATAAATTTGATCCTGACTTTGCCTATAAACTCAAATGATTATTAGACGGACGCAATTACGAGTTTAGTGCTTTAAGACTTCGGAGACCAATTGTTAGACCATTAGTGATGTTCTTACTAATACATATTTGTATTTGGAAGACAAAAGGGACCAAGTCTATTTTTATCAATATTTAAGGCATGTTATTTTCCTATGTGAAATTTGTTCGCTTGTCTTTTTACCAATTATCATTTTAGTCGTACGACGCATATTTATTGTGATACTGATAAATTAAAGTAAGAACCAAGTCCAAATATACATTTTTGATCCAAGTTCAATGATAGGACTTAGATCGTCTTGCTAAATTTATATTAAATAAGTTTAAAACAAACCTCATGGCTATTACTTTAAAATTGAATTCATACCATCAATTTTAGTAAAATAAAATCGGGTGAAAAATGGTTTTTTGCCTCAGAAAAATTACAAAAATGGACTTGGTCCTCTCAGGTGAAGAAATCTATTATAATATGTCCTTTCATGTATACCGCACGGGCAATGAAAACTTTTGATGTAATATAATATTTAGATATATTTCCGGACCACCCTATATGCCGACTGGATTTTACCTTTGTAACAATATGCACACCGCTCACTAATAAAATAATAAAACTACCCCTTTATAGCTACCTCTTAATTTTAGGGCCATGTATGGTAATATATATTGCTCTTCTAATAAAATAATGTAAAACGACCCGGTAATATTAAACAAAATTATTTTATACTATGATACGTTTTTTTTTTTTTTTGTTGTTGTTGATTTTAGAATACTATCGGAACGTAGTTTAGTTTTTCTCACTCCGACAAATGTCGGATATCGGATGTTAAATGTTATTAATGATACAAGAATCTCAACATTTTGACGAAAATGTTTTCGTAATTTGTTTTTCAATCGTCTTATAAAACTACCTGCAAAAACTGACGTACGAATATTAGGTTTTTAATATAATAGGTAATAATATGTTCATCAGTCTGCCGTGATCACGTCTCTGGTTGTTTTAAAAGAAAAAATATCGTATAACAATTAAACGGCACACATTATCTTCAGTCAATAAAGAAAAAAAAAAGGAATCGGATTAAATCGACTCGGAAGATGGTTAAAAAAAAACGGAATGCGGTACGCGTCATATTATTATTATATACTATTCGTTGCGGATATGTAGTCGATGATGTTTGAAAATTATTTGTATTTTTTTTTTTTTTACAATTATTTAATTACTCGCTCATCTGTCAATACGTCCAATCGTTGACAGTGCACGGGAAACCTGAAGTAGAAATTTACCGGCCTGTTATATAGGAACTTTTCCCACATTAATCGATCCGTTGCACGGCGGCCGTAATAACATTGGATTCCATTTAAATGATTTATCGACAGCTCAATGGTTTTCTTGATGCAGTATTGTATTTTTTTTCTTTGATAGTAATACTGCAGTTATTTTAATTTTCGGGTGCAATCTTTTCCCGTGTACTATTCATACACAGTGCGTTTCATTCAAATGACGGTAGCGCGAACTATTTCAGCCGTTGATGGACTTAGATGATAATGGGGTTTCATTTTTTTTTTAAAGAAAAACCGGAGTAGTAAAATAAACACTTAAGAGTTTGTTTCCAAAATGTTAACCATTGCGGTGCAACATAATTGGCATTTTATTGAAACCGAAAAATGTAGTTTTATTTAATAGTGAGTTTAATTTAATAGTAGTTTTTTCAAGAGACTATTCATCTCAACATTTATCCAAGATACAAAAATTAAAACGTTTATTGATTTAAAAATATGATTTTTTCGATTTTTAAACAATTTAAAACATACGAATATCTATTTAAGGTATGTTTATTATACATACCTTAAACACAATTATACATTGTATAATTGTATGATTATCGTTACTTGTAATTTATTCTCCGTAAAACATTAGATAACCGAATTTGTTTCCACTTAAAATCTAATATTTTAATTGTTATTTTTAAAAATTTTTAAATGGTTTTAGTTGTAGTTTTTGAGTAATTAAAATAAAAAAAAAAATCGTGTAAATCAAAGTTATCTGCGGAAAAAAAGCAAGACTATTTGAGTCTGATCGAATATAATTATAAGAGTTTCCTTTGAAAAAAAAAACATAGTTTCTTGAACGCGCCGCAATGTTTAAAATATTGAGAATTGCAGGTTCAAACCTTTTATTTTAATGTTCTGGATCTTTTCAGGGAGAGAAAAAAAACAAAATAGACCCAATTTGATATGAGTCTATCTGACTGCTAAATATTTCGCGTTATTTATCATTCGAGTATGAAAGACAACGCCTAGACTATTTTATAGAACTTTTTTTTTTTTTTCGAGTCATTGATGACGTGCATTAAAACATCACTCGTCTCGTCTCCAGTTCATTATAATAATGTTTAGACGTCTCGTCACATAATATAAAATGTATGATATTATTACGTTTTCTTTTCAAACGCGTTTTGTTTTTGTTTTTGTTTATTTTTTCCAGTGAAATTTTACGTTTGTTCTGGTTCTTTTGTGGCTCCGCAGTCAGATATAAAAGTAACAAAATATCTATTAACTACTACACGGTCGTTAAAAAAAAAAAAAAACGAATTTATAACAACGCGCGTTACGTATATTATAATATACATTATATATTATATTATAGTAGGTATAATGAATGTTCACATAAAATGCCTATATAATATAATAATATATAATAATATAAAGTAAACACATTTTTTATGTATATTTTTATTTTTATTTTTTTTTTATCTCGTCGATGAGCGTTTTAATTATACGATTTAGATACAATCTATATAGTAATATAGGTGCAGGGGAAAGTATCGGTATTGTAAAACGTAGAAAAAAAAACGACTTCTGGGGAATAAATATACAGTAAGTATGCGTACAATAAACAGTGTCCCACGGAGATCTGACAAATCAAATAATCGCTTGTGTTCCGATTAATACCTTTATATTTTTTTATATTTATCGTAATAACCACTAGATCCTTGCGCCATGATTTTTATTTATTACTATTTTAAATTAAAAAAAAAAAAAAAAAAACTAAAAATAAAAATACATTTCTTTTATAAAATTTAAGATATCTAAATGGATTATTAAACAAAATTTTGGTGTTACAGATGTTTTTTTTTTAATAACGAGTCACTCATTTTCTAAAATTTGTTGAAGTTTACGATGGTCAATTTTTTTATTGCCATCACCTACTAAATAAAATCGATCGATTCACCGTCTTTTCAATGAAAAATAATTTTGTAAACTATAAAAATCTGTAGAAAATTACTGGATTGTCGTTATAATAACATTTTTAACATCAATACTTTGTTTTAAAATATACATTTATAAAATTGATTTTATTGATTGTATAGAAAAATATTAAATTTATTTTTAGTTTTTAAAAAAATTATACAAAATAGAAAAACCATGGCGCAAGGCTATATTAATTGTCACAAAAAAAAAAAAAAAAAAAAAAAAAAAAAAACAGATATATTAAACAGAACAAAATGTATTGCACATGTCAGATTTCCGTGGAACATCACATTGTATACACGCGCGCGTGGTCGAGGAACACGAAAAGCGTGTGTTCAGCAAAAAAAAAAAAAAAAAACAGTAGGACACACGTGGCAGTTACATAGACGTGTGTACATGATAATAATATTATAATATTCGCAATTCGATTCCAATATTCCGAACGGACGGTTACATGACGTATTTTTTACTTTTTTTTTATCAACTTATTTCCTTGTATATAATTATTAAATAACAAACGTCGCGTGGCCTGTAACGCAGGGGTAAACCCACGGAGGGGATTTCTGGTCCGGACCCCCCAATGACTGTAGTAAATACATTTGTAAATGTGTATATGTGTGTGGAACGCTGGCTAATTATTATGATTAAGACTAATGTTTTTAACAGTTATCTGTTGGTTATGCATTTAATAATTCAATAATTTTCGATAATTAATCAAAATTCAATAATTGAAAAATAATAATAATAACTATAATTATTAGAGAACAAATAATATAAAAATGATGGACCCACCAATAAAAAATGTCTGGGTATACTCCTGGTGTAACGCGTGTGTATTTTTTTCTAACGAATTTCGAAAATCAGTATCTTACCAGTCCGCGTATGGCTGTAATTGTTTCTCTCTAAAAATGATAAATAAAACGTACCGTGAAAACTGCAGACCGAACCGTGGGATCCGAATTTTAAATAGTTCAATATTATAATATACGTACCTATTTATCTATAAAATCGCTTGTATTCGAATTTCGCGGACAATTCCTGGCGATTTACACCATTTAATAGCATTAATGGTTTGCCATGTATATGCCATAATATATGACAAATAATATTGTTCCGATATCTCCCATCGAGACGAATACGGAAAGGAAGTTTCGAATGATACGCGTTTAAAGAAAATAAAGATTCGTCGGTATTATAATGACGATTAAAATAACTGCATTTTAAAACCATTGGAATTAATTATAGTAAATTCAAATTCTTATGTATATATTGTTGACAATAAGCAACACTATCAACTGAACTCCGCTCGGAATCGTATTTTCGTTAGCAAAGGGCCTGTCGTCGCTTATATATGCACATTGAATGCCCGTCTGTATCCTACCTTCCCGACTTCCCGCCTGTACAAAACAGTGGCCGCACCCGCGTGCGAAGTATGTCCGTCTTTTTTTTTTTTTTTTTGTTCTTCGATTTTTACGTTTTTAATTCAAATAAGGCACACCAAAGTCGTGCAGCGCACAAGACCTCTCTGTTTCATCATTAAACCGGGCTCCGACACTCGTATACGCGGACACCGCTCGTCCGCCGCGACACACGTCGCGCACCTCTCTCCGCGGCTGCCGCCGCCGCCGCCGTACACTCGCATCGGTTACAT